GGGGCAGCACTTATGACAGCTTAAAATCTATTAAAATTTGGCATGTGTAGGCACCCAAATCGTTCATTCATTCATTCATTCAGCTGGTGAAGATTCTCAGTCATCCAGGACATGATTAATTCAAAAAGCGTTCAATACAAAAAAAACAACTGGACTTTATTTGTAACAGAAGACGTTGAGGAGCGAAACGTCTTCTGTTACAAATAAAGTCCAGTTGTTTTTGTATTGAACGCTTTTTGAATTCATTCATTCATTCATTCATTCATTCATTCATTCATTCATTCATTCATTCATTCATTCATTCATTCATTCATTCATTCATTCATTCATTCATTCATTCATTTTAGAATAAATCCAAACATCTTACCATTAACCAGGCCAAATGTGGAGCTGATGAAGTGAGGAGGAAACAAGAGCCTACTTATAAAAACACCCAGTAACTCAGCCAACCAGACACAGGTGAAAAACATCAAGACAATCAAAAGAGGAACAGCAAAAAGGAGAGAGACAAAGAGATAAGAAGATTCAATTTATCAGAATCTAATTGATTATAAAGGAAAGCAAGCTAAGGAGAATAATTAAGAACGCAAAGAGAGAATATTGGAGACAATTCTGTAACACAGTGGGAAAAGAAACACAAATAAAAAAAAAAAAGGAAAATAATAAATTGATAGAATGGTATTAAAAAATAATATGAAGATCCAGTATTAAAAATAAGTAACAAAACTATTATAAAAGATGACAAGAAAGCTGAAATATTAGCAAAAGCATTTAGTAAAATTCATAGTTCGAGTAACATGAGTGAAGAAGGAAGGAAAGGTCAGGAAGCCACTAAACTAAAATACAAAGATTTGCTACAAAATACTGAAGAAACAAATAATTTATTGAATGAACCGTTTACAAAAACAGAACCGAACTATGCACTAAGGAAAACAAAGAATACAGCACCTGGTAAAGATAACATTTGGTACACAATGATAGAACATCTAAGTGAAACATCAAAAGATACAATATTAGAATTTTACAATAAAATCTGGGAGGAAGGGGAGCTGCCAGAGAGCTGGAAGGAGGCGATCATAGTTCCAATAACCAAACCAGGAAAAGACAATACAAACCCAGAAAATTATAGACCCATTGCTTTAACGTCAAATATATGTAAAATAATGGAAAAAATTATTAATAATAGATTAACTTATTATTTAAATATCAAAGGGTATATACCTAAATATCAGAGTGGGTTTAGAAAAGGGAGGAATACTAATGACCCAACAATTTGCTTAGAGCATGAAATCAGAAAAGCACTAATCAACAAAGAAAGTGTAGTCGCTGTATTTTTTGATCTAGAGAAGGCATATGATATGATGTGGGTAGAAGGATTATTAACTAAATTATGTTAAATGGGGATTAATGGAAAAATGTTTAATTGGGTTCAAAACTTGTTATCAAACAGAACAATAGAAGTGAGAATTGGGCAAGAACTATCAAGAACATTTACAGTAGAAAATGGGACGCCACAAGGAAGCATATTAAGTCCGTTATTGTTTTCCATAATGATAAATGATGTATTTACAGACACTGAGAAGGAAATGGGATGTTCATTATTTGCGGATGATGGAGCCATATGGAAAAGAAGTAGAAATACAGAATTTGTTGTAAAGAAAATACAAGATATGATAATTAGAATAGAAAAATGGGCATTTCAATGGGGATTTAAGTTCTCGGTAGAAAAAACAAAAGTTATGGTGTTTACACAGAAAAGAATAAGAGAGGAAATAAACTAAAATTATATAATCAAGAATTAGACCAAGTAAAAAGTGTAAAGTTTTTAGGAGTATGGTTTGATGAAAAAATAATGTGGAAAATACATATACAGAAAATTACAGGTAAATGTAAGAAAATAATAAACATTATGAGATGTTTGGCAGGCAGTAACTGGGGAGCAGATAGAGGAGCTTTAAAAAATATATATACAGGATTAATCAGATCAAACATTGATTATGGAAGCACCATTTATGGATCATCTGGAAAAATTAAACACAATACAACATCAGGTGTTAAGAATTTGCACAGGAGCATTCAAAACTACACCAACAACAGCACTAGAAGTAGAAATGGGAGAAATGCCTTTAGATCTAAGAAGAACACAACTAGCAATAAATTACTGGATAAATTTACAAAGCAATAACCCGGATCATCCAACACTCGATACACTAAAACCATGCTGGGAAAAAGAGAAAAAACAAACAAGAAGTTTTGGATGGATCATAAGAAAGAAGACAGAAGAAGTTCAAATACATAGTTTAGAAATAAGTCCACATTTACCACTATCAGTTTTACCACCCTGGA